TGACATTTGCTCCAAGCCTGCTCTAATTCAAACCTCTGCTTGTTCATCAGTACTTTATTTCATACAGTAAAGGTCAGGATTTGGGCTCAAGGCAGAGCCTTGACAAGAGAGCTCAAGTGAAAGGCGGACTGGCCCTGGCATCTGTCGCCCGAGATAGTGGAGGAAGGGGGGAGATGGAGAGCTAACTGGCCACATCCGTCCTCCTCCATGGGGGTAAGATGGAGAATCTGATGCCCAGTGGTAGGAGCTGTCAGGCTGAGTATCGTGACAACCGGCCACCGTCCAGAGTAAAAATGCAAACATAATTTCCATGTCACCTTGCAGAAGGACCTCTGCTCAGCCTACTTGTGGCACGTCGACGTCTTTTCTAGTTTGTCCTTGAAAAGCTGAGTCACTTATTAAAGTGTCGTACTCCTGGGAAGGGAGGTGTTCCAGTGACAGGAGTACACACAAGGGACCCTTCCGTCTTTCCTCCTTCTGACCTTTCTACTTCTTGTCTCCTAACTCTGTTTCAAAGGATTTCTTTTGAAAAGTTGGCTGCCTTTTGCTCAGAAGGTCCCTCTTCATCTAAACGAGGGGGCTCTTCATAGCATGTTTACCGTAAAGAATTCAACAATACTTTTTTTGGGGGGGGAGCACAACGAGGTCCCCAACACAAGTCAGCTACTTCACCTGACACTCAGCTGAAGAAAGTAGCTATTTATTATGAGTGAAAGCATTTGAAGATAGGCATTTCAAGGGATTCTTTTCAAAGGAGATTTTGCCCACGCGTGATTTTGGCCTTACAATGCTGATTTAACGATTTGTCAATAGAACTAAAGTCACTCGAGTGTCACTTTAGTCACCTGTGTAAGCATGTGGAAAGCATATTTCTAGTCAACCCATTGCTAAATGTGCCTACCACAGAATCGAGTGAGAGGCATTGGCTTCTGTAACCTTGCTCACTACCAACAAAAGTACCCGAAGATGCCCTCCCAGGTACATCGTTAGTCTCTCGGAATGATTAAATGGCTATCTGGCCCTATTTACCTTCCTGTTTTCACGTCCTGCAATGAAGTGCGAATGGCCAACTCAGGGAGCGTGGGGCAGGGCTAGCGCAGAGCTAGAGTGGAATCCGAAGGTGCTTGAGTGTTTGCTCTCATGGAATGTAGGGAAGGAGAAAGAGACAGATCATAACCAGCATGCACAAGAAAAATGGGAGAAATTGCAGACCCAGAACGAATGGGCTTACAGAATGCATGGGAAACTATGATTACATTGATTTAGGCTGAGTTTCCTTTGGCTCTCCTTTTTCTTTCTATCACTGATGGTCGTGGTGGGAAGAGTCTTTGGTTTCAGGGCCCAGAAGTAAAATAAACAAATACAATTTGGGGGGAGCTTGAGGACGTCACCCAAAACTACACATAAAAGGAATCAGATAATGATAGGCTGTTGATTTTTAAATACAGCTTATTAACTCAAATCCCTCTTTAAGAGTTAACGGAGACAGTATAGGGTGTGTCCTGTTAAAGACATTTTCCTAGAGCTAGTTCCACCCCTTGCCCTCGTATCTGATTCTATGTACTTCAAAATGCCATTAGTTCACTCGAGTGACTTTAGTTCTATTGACAATGTTAATTCTCTGCCCGTACAAACCAGAGGCTACTTGGGATAAGCTGATTTTTGTTTATTATCTGACAAGACTCAAGATTACACTAAACTGATTTTGGTATGTGTCCCTTCAACCTAATGGTATTGGACTGCTCCTCTCAACTTAACCACTGGAGTTGAATGCCTCCTTGTATTAGATTTATACCCGAAATAAAAGTCACGCGCCATTTAAAATTAGCTACAGTAGTTTGCAAAAGGGTATATGTAATTGTGCAGGTTTAAACTATTAGTAAATTGAAAGGTTGGTGTGAGTGATCGCACATGTACTTGAGCTAAAACTATTTCTAAGTGCAAGTCTAAAGATCTGTTTCTCTTCCAGCACATGATTAATTTGTTCATGCCAGGGCTGCTGATGGCTTGCGGCCGGCATCATGTCACACAGGTCTCGGCAGGTTTGAATCAATGGGGTCCTATGTTGTCGCTGCTTCAAACTTTCACTGTCCCTTTCTATTAGACTGAGCAATCAGATATCAGGCAAGACCAAAACAACACGAAAAAATTCTGAACAGAGAAAAAGCACTATTTTATAAAATTCTATGGATGCAAAATGGAACTGATTAGAACCTACATCTATATTTATGTGTTTATGTTGCTAGACATCATTTTTTTAAAAATATTTGATGGTCCTAGAACATGGCTACTTGTAAAACGTCTGGGCCCATATCATCTTAGTGTCTTTCCGAAGAGCTGGTACTCCCGCCCAGGATCATCTGGAGTAGAAACAAAACCAGGACGATCGGAAAATGAAGCTTTGTGCACCGACTCCAGCTTACCATAAGGAACCATTCAGTCTTGCCAAAAACATAAGTCTTTGATGAATCCTTACTGGTCACTATGTGCTTTACTTTTCTGACACTGTTTTTTAAAGTCTTTTGTAAAGGAGTCCTTCCTCCCTGAAGAGCTTTCTGTCTGCACAGTCTGACCTTACGTCTCTCGAGTTCAAAAGAAGACAACTGTCAGAACAGAACGTGACTTTGCAATGACCGATCCTCGGTAACAGGCCACACCTCCAAGGAGAGGTGCCCTGAGCAGGCGGGCCCTGCTGCTAGAAGGCAGATTTTTTAAAACTGTGTGAACACTTTTAATATATTACTACTCCTCTGGGAACTAGCTACTTTTCTTCCCACTTCAGAAAACACATAATGGGACTTTGTGTTTCAATTTAACGTCCCTTGAAAACGGAAATCTTTCCCCTTATGAGAAAAAAAAAAAAAAAAAAAGCAAGGAGGGAGACTAAAAGCAAGAGAGAAATGAATTAGGCAGTCTCCAAAGCACACTGGCTCAACTGGGAAACTGCGACCAAAGCAAGCTCCATAATAATATAATGACCTTTAATGAGTGTCTTGGGAAACAATACGGCCCCAGCATAAAAGACAAAGGGCAAAACCCATCATGGCTCTCCAGACACTAATTCAAAATGATTTTCAGAACAACTAAAGAATGTAAGAGAAGTAATCTGATCCGCCCATCTGACCTCACTTTGATTCAAGGGCCCTTCTCCTGCCATTTCTAATTGTCAAACCCTCTACATTTCACATCTGCTCATATTTAATGAAAAGCCCACTCTCGCCACTGCTCTTTGAGTCAACCAGCTCTGTCAAATGGGCACCACCCAAACCCACCACCAGCAAGGGAAGCCCAGGGATTGCTATTAGAGCCCTGCCAGTGGGATTCTGCGTAGAGATAGACATTTTTTAATTGGAGAAGAAGGGCTTACATGGGTGCATGAAGGGGCTCAAATTGGAATGGATTTTTCTAACTTATTATTAATGGTCAAAGGTGAGAGGACTCACACAGGGGTGGATGAAATCTGCTTTCTTTCGATGCCGTGAGGACGGCGGGGAAACTGATGAAACAGAGGAGGCGACCCCCCCACCCCTGAGCTGTCAGTATCAGTTAACGCTTCCACATACAGCCCAAAGCTCCGTGTTTTCTACGGTGGGGCTGATTTGGGAGGATAGAGAAGGACAACAGTCTCACGCACAGGATGTTTCCAAGAGGATGGGACAATCCCACCCTAAGTTTTTCTTCTCTTGGCCTCCATCAATGTTTGGATTAAATTGCAGAGATGAGAAATCCCTCCAATTATGGTTTCTCCTGGATGAAATGGAAATTACACACGCTGGGTATCACGGGCCTCACACAGGGGACACACATGTTACTGTGATTGGTATGGGCAGCTCTTGCCAAGACACGACCACATACAGCCCAAATGGCTCCTTCCTTTTCTCCACTGAATTCCTGGCCAAGGTTTGAGAGCCTAGTGGTTATCTGAAAACAGAAGAAGTTGTGCCTTAGGCAGACGGGTAACCCCCGTGGCTGGTGGTCCCGTTCACGGCCATCAGTCAAAGATGTGGCCAAACGGTGCCACCACAGCTCACCACTTTGCTCTTCCTCCCCCAGCTCCCGTCTTGAACCTAGTGTCTTGCCGGACATCTTAGACAAACAAATCCCTTGTGCGGTTGCAACCGAGTTCTCCTTGCCACGTCATAGGAACTAGCAAGAATTCTCACGATGAGAATAAAAGGGTAAAGGTTCATACTGTGGCATCTGAACAAAAGATTTGAAAGGAGCTTCCTTCCTAGAATTTTAGGCAAATGTGGTTGGGACAGTCCAAAATCCCTCTCGACACAACCTCTATTAAGTATCACTTTTAAAAATGAATCCTATTTCTTGGCACTGTTCTGGAAGAACAGCGAATTGTGAAGAAGAAAGGACGATTCTCTGGTCCCAGCTATAACTTTTCCAAGTGACTCTACAACAGTTAGATGCCCAGATTGTGCCTCAGACCCGAGCAGCAGGTTCAAACACCAGCATGTGGCCCAGCATACCACTCCGCTGCATACAGTGACGTCAGGGCCCCCTCAGCCCCGGGAGCCTCTGTGGATCACTGTCCCACAAGCACACCATGCTGGGACCACTTCCAACACCAGCACATATCAGTCAGCAAGTTCCCCGCATCCCAGCACCTCAGGGTGCACACTGGGGCTTTCAGTAATATCACCGGGCAACCGTCGGTAAAATACCCGCGAAGTCCACGCGGCGGACCAGGATGAGGGAGGTGTCAGGAACCTGGTGTAGGTCAGCATTGCCGGTTGCCAGCAGCTAGACCCTGACCTTTGGTTCTTTACCATCCCTGACCTTGTGGGTGAACGAAGAAGACTGACCTCACAGTCCTGTACAGCGGACTCCAGGAAATCATGGCAGCTCACGGCTTATAGTTTTTGTTGTTATTCGGAATCACAATTGCTACAGGAGACCTTAGTTAAAGTGTGAGATTCTATTTTTGGGAAAAAATAATGCTCCTTTGAATTAGTCAGCTTTCTGAGGGAAGCCCTAGACTGCATCAGTCAATAGAGGTTTACAGGTTTAGAATACTCATTTCCAGAACATAGGACACAATCTGGCACTGGAGGAACAAGATACAGGTTAAAAAGACAAAGTTTAAAAAATAAAAGAAAGAAATCCACATTCATCTTAACCCTGTTGTATTTTGGAAACTATCTAATTTAATGATTTAATAATTTAGTGATTTAAATAATTTAATGATTTAAATAATTTTAAATAATTTAGTGATTTAAATAATTTAATGATTTAATAATTTAATCTACTTTTACTTGTTCCCTCTCCTTCCTCCCTGCAACCCAATCCGATGGATAGCCTTGACCCAAATATTAAGATATGCATTTGCACACATCTTTGTATTAATACAGTATTTGACTTGTTGTCACATTAATTTCCATTTATATTTATTTAAAGGAGAAAGAGGGAGACTATCACTAGACTCTACTATCACAGTCCTGCATGCCATTCCCAGAAGCGCAACGAGTTAACAGAATGGAAGGGAGGCCTTCCCTAGCAGGTACACAGGGACATAGGCAGCGAGGACAACATCCATCACCATATACAAGGTCACACTGGGAAGAAAACATCAGCCGGACGGACTCACAAGAACCACAGGGCACACAACACAAGACGGGGATGATACCACAGACAGCACAGACATGGAACTCCGTGTGTCGGGGTCAAACTTACAGGCACGGAAACTGGTGGAGCAATCATTAACAGAGACAGAAGAAAGTGGGAAGGTTCTCTCAAGGGTGTCCATGTTAGCACGCACACGGCCTGACATGCACGAGCAGTCACGCTCAGAACGTCCGCAATCAAAACAACATGCCCGTCTCATTCTCTTGTAGATGGACATCTTGGCTATCATCATGTGGTTGGATGGAGGAGAGGAAGAGCGGTAGTTAATGGCAAGGTCACACACAGCAAGGCAGCTAGAAGGGAGCTAAAGGGATTTAACACAGGTCTTAGTTCACATTAACAGTCTTGACCCAGAAAAAAAAAAAAATGCAGAGTGACTGCTGGTAACAGTTTGGTTGTACATCAAAAAAAGCAGCGAAAATATAAATTGCCTTTATCATCCCCCAAGGCTGTTGTGTATTATTTTTCTCCCCAGGTAAAGTGGGTGACTACAGGAAGCAGGCATGGCTGATTACAATCAGGTTCTTGGATGAGAAGAAGAGCACGTTAGAGACAGCAAAAATGTAACCAACATTTTTCCCCTGGCGCAATTAATACAGGAGGTCAAAATAAACACACAGCCAATCAATTAATTGCTTATTTGGTACAATAAATGGTTTTTGCAAGATGCAAAATATCTAATATGTAGGCTTTCTAATTTCCATCCATTTCTGGGCATGAGGCAGAGCCTAGGACAAGTTTTCATCAAATTAGATATGAAACGATTACATGTTAATATAGAATCTGAGGATGCCTCTGCTGAACTTCCCCAGAGTGAGTTTACATGATGCCTACAGGAATTTAAATTTACTCTTGACAGAACAAATATCCAAATCTGTCCATATAAGAAATGCAGCTACTCAAGGCTAACGCTGCGTATTTGACATTAAAGGCAGTTCACAAATAAGAAATCACCAAAAGCATATGAGATGTTGGTCTATTGGAATGCATTTAGCTACTCATGGGTGTATTTTCTGCTTAAAGCTGGGAGAATCTGAAAATCACATCTGCTTTTCTCTCCCCACCCACTGAAAATCCAGAAAGCCATTGAGCTATTGGTTAATCGTAATTTTTTCTTATACTGAAAATATTGGACAAAATAGATTAGAGATTATAAAACATGAAGTAAGAAATTAGGTCCCACATAAAATATCTTATTTATATTTGCGTGCAGCATTGATAGCTCTTCTAAAGCTGATATCGTAGGATCTGGCCTGCCTGGGGATCCAACTTGAGTGCTGACCTACCAAGTGCAAACCTTGCTGGACATCACCGTAGTGGTTCTCAAGACACTTCACCCTTAACCTTCAAGCCAATTTATATTTCAGTACGAGGAGCTTTTTTGTGCCTCATTTTGATGCTACAACAGGCAAACGTGTTTGCTTATCAATTAGCATGAACCAGCCTGCTTCTCTCACAGGATTGGAGAAGAACTCGTATTTATTCCAAACATCATAGCCAAATAGTAAGCCTGAACCAGAAAGGTGTTATTCCCTGCGCCCACACCTTCCATTTTCAAAGTCATTTTCCCCCCTCTTTCTTTTTCTTTGTGGAGAATGGTTGCACTCTTACTTTAAAATATGGCTTCTGGTTTTGCCCTCTTTGAATGTTACAGTCACCAGGAAGAGGGGTTTAAATCTCTCAAATGGGTCAAGTCCTGTTCTAAGACCTTTATGACTTGCCATACAGTATATTTGTCAAGCAGGGGTAACATTATGATTGTAAAGAACAGGCACTGGGGGAGATGAATGAGAGATCCGTTCCTGTTTAAACTTGGCTCCCATTTTTAGTGACATGTTCTTTTAGCATCCTAGCTAGCTGGTTGTTCAGATCATCATCATGCAGCCCCAGCCCTCTTGAATGCGTGGTACATCATTCCTGAGCTGAGCTTTTACCAAAAAAAAAAAAAGAAAAGAAAAGTTCCACTATAGCATTTGAATTGGAAGACTTTAGAAGGTATGGTATGAATACCCAGACACCCCAAACAGTAGTAGTTGAAGTCAAGAAAGAGGAAAAAGTCTTCAGCTGAAGACACAAAAATAAAATTATTTTACACTCATCCAGATCTGATGGACAACTTGTAGACTGCTCACTTATTTTTGGCTCGGTTCTTTTACTGGAAATATTGATTTGTTATTTACACAGAGGAGGGAAACAAAGATAATTTTTTGTTTCACTGTAAATAAATTGTTTTGAAAAAAATTTAATCAAATGCTGTAGCAGAAGAGAAGCCCATCAAACTCTGAAATGCTATGCTTCTCATTAGCAACAGTCCCTGGTTTTCATTTCCATACTGCCATTTTGGGTTCATATATAATAATAGAATCTGACACATTTATAGGGAAAGAGAGTTCTTCTATATATACCGTCTTTAAGGACAAGGGGAGGGCGGATGAGGCAGAATAACTTTTGAAACGATTCTGTCAGAGGTAAGCCCATCATAATGGGTGATTTTAAACCTCGTACTTGATAAGGGCTTCAGGTGGAAACACAACTTCAACCCAGTGCCTCTCAGGAACTGTTTGCAACGGTTATTGCTGGCTGTTCTGGAGACCATGCATTGTTCTAAAATTTCATATTGTTAGCATGCAGGAACAGGCTGAAACTGGTAATCGAAGCAGCAAAAAACCATTTGCTATAAGAAGATTAAATGTTAATTATAAGCAGTCACATTCCAAAGCAGCATATGCATAAAAAAGCAAACATGCTATTACTAGTCATTCCTCCCCAGTCATCATTTTTACACTCACACCAAATACAAAATAGAAATCTCAAAAGACAAACAAGCACCACCACAAAAAAAAAAAAAAAAAACCCAGCAAGAATGATCAGTGAGAGGCTCAAAGACAAGACAGAAACAGTTAAAAATGATTGAGCCCCACATGTTGACAAACCTTTGTGAATTACAATGTCTAGACCAAGGTGCCACCGGCTGGGAGGGTGGCTCTCTCGCTCTACTTCTGGAATAGTCCCATTTTCATTGACACCCCCCACCCCTTTGACGTCTTCACCTACACACTTCCGGGCCCAATCTCTTAACAGGTAAGCCCAGCTGACCTCCCTTCTGGTGGAGCGATTCATCAGGCTTGAAGGATGTGCGTTGCGTCCCAGCTAGGAAGAAAGAGCCCTCCTCTGGGCCATTAAATGGGTCCTGAACAAGCACTTTAACTAAAAACGTTTGATCATTTGCCCACGTGGTGGGAGCTATTCCAGAGGATGTGGACACTGTGTGTAAAATTATACTCTCAAGTTGTAAAATAAAATTATATCAAAATTAAGTCGTGGCTCTCCTGATTTGGAAAACACCACCCCTTGTCCCCTTCAACTCTCTGGCTTCCTAATCCTCCGGTTTTGTTTTAGCGAATCACGGATATTCAGAACCGCTGGTGTTTTAGTTCCATTTCCCCGTGACTGTTTCCTTTTCTGGAGCCGATGTGGGTTAGAAGGTTAATTTCAGATATCAGAGTGCCACTTAAAACTCCCAAGGTTAGGTTTCAAAGAGCAACTTTGAAAGTTTCAGTATTTATTTAAACCAGAAATAAGTTTCTTAATCTACTCCCTGGACACATAAAGTGCCCTCTCACCTTTGGCGTTTGCTGATTTTCTTTTTCACATCGTCACCCAACGCTCTCTTCCCAAATCCCAAGCCTCAGAAAAAAGGAATTTTCCGCAGGAGCTCAATGGTAATGCAAAGTAGATCTATGAGGACATCTAGTGGATCCGTGTGGAAGAGCAGCTAATCAACAGACTACCTGAACTAGCTGGCCTTTCTCTGCAAGGGAGCAGGAAGGGACACTGTGTGCCTCCAAGAATTGACATCTGTGCAGTGTCATCTCAGTTCAGTGGTTCTTACAATTCCCAGCGGATGTTCAGGGGCCAGTGGGGATGAAGTGGTGAATTCTAGGAGTTGGTTCAAGAGTGGCGACTTGCAAACACGTTGGCTCTGCAGCCATGGCCAGCAGAGTGGGACCAGTTCAGCAGCAGCTGGCTGGGCCTCCTCAAAGCCGTGCTGCCACTTCCTGAGACAGGAAACAGACAAGAGTGTGTCTCCAGTAGGTGTGAAGACTGTAGCTACTTGTCATTCCGTCTTAGGGCTTTTGGAACTTTATGCTCAATTAATTGGCCCCATAGGCCAGCTTAACTCAGGGAAAGCAGAAATATAAGCCTCTGGGGACTCCGTTTTCTCTTTGGCCCACGTCACAAGGTTCTTGTTCTTGGACTGGTGCCACCGATTCAAAGAGGTTATGTGGTTGCCAAGAATGAGACCCTGGGTCTCACCTTCCTCCAAAGAACTCTGGCTTAGCCCTTTTACAATTTGAGAAAAAGCTTCTATGTGCTTTCCTTCACCACAAGGGAGTGGATATTCATCCAATATTTCCATTAGGACTTCCTAGTGCTATTTGTAGAGATAAAATGAAAGTATTTCCCTAATGGACATCATCAAAGCTATGTGTTTACTCTTAAGTGTTTAAAAATGGGGGATTTCTCAGACCTACTCTCGGACCACTTTTCCTATATTTTCAAGGGTCGTGATCACGAGAAGAGAAACCTGTACTCAAGCGGCTGATGTAGATGTGGCTGGGTTACTGCACTTTCCTTGTGTCAAAGTGACAATCAGCTGTCACACTCAGGATCTCTGCCGGTTAGCCCTTCTGAGCCAAGCCTGGAATGAAGAGGGAGTTGGACTCCATCCTGTGCTCAGCACCATCTGCCTCCTGCATCAGCAACCAAATGGCCAGCCAATTTCCAACTGCAGAATCTTAATTTCCAGGGTGGGTTGGAAGGGGCAGGAAAAGCAGCGCAGGACTGAGAGGCTCAGGTGGAGTTTTCCAACGGCCGGAGAAAAAGTATTCTAGGTTCAAATGGAGCAAATTCAAAGGAAGACTAGCGTGGATGAAGAAAATATCTGCCTTTCAGTTCACAGATACTTTTTAGGTCGCAATGACATGTTTAAGACCAATCCCAGTGAAGGAAGGATGAATTCCAAGCCTGAACCCTGAAGCTGCTCTTCACATGCTCAGCAGCAACTAAAATTAGAACAAGAAGCCTCCACGGAACGAAAAAGTCCACCGAGGTAGAGGGTTGAGACATGCTTTTGATGTGACCCTGGGAATCGGCGAGCATTCTTTCCAGTCCTGTAAATGAGGAATGATGTCTTCACTTAGCCAAATTCCTCCTATTCGCTTCTGCAGGGAGAAGAAAGATCTGCCAGGTGGTTTTCCAAGAACAGAAAGAGGGGAAAGAAAAAGCTAGTTAATGTCAGTGGCCCTAAGTACACAGAACAGAACTAGAGGATCTTGCCTTCCACACCAAGCGGCGGCCGTGGAAGGCAGAGGCATTTGGCACCAGAGCTGTTTGGTGACTGACATCCCCTTTCCTGTCTGCTTCCGAAGGATCACGAGGTACAGTAGGCGCCTCTGCAGGTATGAGAGTGGCACATGCCCTCGAGCCAGCCTTCCCAGTGCTCTGCAGATAAAGGGAGCCACGGAGTCCATCTTGGCGACGTTGTGTGACAGACTCAAGATGTCACTGATTTGTTTTGTTTGTACACTGAGCATTCTAGAGCCTCGAACTCTGAAGACTAGCCAGAACCAGACGACCCCCTTGCACGGTGCAAAGGCAAGGAGAGTTCTGAGTGCTGGGATGTCTCCAGATGCCAGGACCACTGGACTGAACTGGTCTGCAGGCTGGGTCTCATTTTCCATGGAGTCTCCCGCGAGTCCGTGAGTAGAGACCTGAGGACGCTCACTGCTGGTACTCCTGAAGCAGCATTGCCCGGAGTCACACACAGAAACGCTGGCCCTGAAATGGCCCCATCGTGTTGGGTGAGAGGGGCCCTACTCTGTGAGTAAGTTAGGGGCTCAGAGACTTAACATTTACTTGTTCGGACTTCTACACGGCTCCCTGACGAAAAGGAACATTGTCCTTGAGCCATTTTTTTCCACCTGAAACAAGTAAATGGATCTTCCAAGATGCCTGACTAACACCCACAGCAGAACTGGGTATGTCCCAGTGGGTACTGATTGAAAGGAGAACTTTATTTTAAAGCAAGGGAACTTCGTAGACTGTAGGAAATAATTACCACTGTGGAAATACTTGTCTCCGGTAAGGTGGCTTAAGATACTTACAATCCCAAAGTTTGGTGTCCAGTTAATTCTCTAGCAAGCACTTCCTCGCATAGAGAGGTACGTATATTATAATAAATACATTGCTCTCTCTATAAAATATCTCTATGCTTACATATAAAAATGTTCATTTTTACATACAAAGTACTGGTATATATCATATATATATATCACAACATAGGAATATATATGTAGCATATGTGTTTCCTTCAGGATAGGAATTCAAGCTCAGCAGCAGAGACCAGGTCTAATTTATCGAAGGCGAGCATGACAATGACCTCCAATTGACGAGGCATCTACAGCTATAGTGGTAATTACCTCAGCCTACTCAGTGTCCCCTAAAGGTCCCGAGACAAGGCCTTCAAGAGAAACACTGTGGTCAAGGTCTTATTTTCAAATGGAAAAATAAGACAGTGCCAGAAGCTGGCAAGAGGCTGGGGGATGGGAAGATGAACGGAGGGGGGTTCCCTGCTCTGGGGGGTCTCCAGCCCCAGGCTACTCTGCAGACCATGTTGGATGAGAGAGTTGGGGCATGATGTCACTGCTACATGCAACATAAATACCAAAAGAAAAAAGGAAACTGAAACTGTACAGAAAATAAAAGAAGTATCTCTTCTAGAGAAAGACAGGGGGAACTGGACTCCGGGCTACTGGGAACCCGTTTTACTCACAATATATCACTACCAGTGTGCAGTTAAAATAGAGTAGGGGCCGTATTCCAAGGCAGCAAAGAGAAAAAAAATAAATCAAAAATATGTCAATGATTAGAAGTTCAAGAAAATTCCTTCAAACACATCAATTCAGACATGACTTGTGCCCTGGGAGTCCACCCCTTGGCAAACTTATACAGGCTGGGGGAAAAAATGTAAATCATTAGACCAGGTTTGTTATACAGAAGAAAAAAATGGGTAAATAGTAGATTCTGAGAGCTTGCTCCTTGGCCAGACAGCTGAATTTGACTCTCTTCCTTGATGGAATGCTATGAAGAAATGGAAAGAAATGCAAAAGTTAAACTATACTACCACAGGATTTCCGGAAATGGAATGTCCACACTCGATATTTCTCCAGATAGTATGGCATGAAATGTTCAGGGTGAATGGGGAGGTGGGGGTGGGGCTGGAAGGGGAAGAGCTAGGTTGGGAGGGGAGGGTTAGGAAGCTGCGGATAAAGACCAATGACTGTCATCAGCTCTGCCCTCATGGAGGTGTATCATTCTAGGGTGAATTATTAATACCTGGTCTAATAGGTTTGGACCAATGACTGTGTGGGTGAGCTGCCCTCTCCAGCTTAGGGCGCCGGGCAATGTGCCCTCAAACGCACAGGAACCCCTGCAATTCATTATTCACAGTTCTAGCTCCTTATAATCAAAGTTTCTTTGCAACCAAAACCCATCTTCCCCAATTTCCTGACTTGCCTGGTATGCATGGGGATGTTCATGTTTAATAATTCACTTTATTCTGACCACCCCTTACACATACACATCTGCATCCTGCCCTCTGTAACACAGGCTGCTATGGCCTTTTAATTAGGAAGAACAATATTTGGACAATTTTGATTGTTATCAAACATTAACCTCACAGCCGGAGGCCTCATTGAGATGAGAAGCCCAAGAGGGAAGGGGGTACAGAGAGACGGGGGCAAGACCCCTGTCACACTGGCTCAGCTTTGGGATTCCACGGCAATCCATGCCACGCATGGTGAGAGACCACACACTTCACTAGCTGAACCAGCTTTAAGGGGAGCGAAGAGAATAAAATTATTTCAAACAATTATGTGCCTTTCCCTCCAGGATGAAGTTAAAGTCAACTGCTGTTTGCTTGTCTGGAACCAGGATGGAAAAATACCCTAGAGGCCAAATCCTCATTTCTAGGAACCTAAAAGCTTTCTGCTGAGTTCCACTGCAGTGCCTACGAGTAACATTCCATATCAGAGCGGGGGTCAGAGACACTTTCTCTCCCTCATTCTGCCTTCTACCGTTGCCCTCCTAGAGTCTGTTCTCTGTCCAGTCACCATGGAGGTCATCTAATACAGGAATTGAGGATGTTATGTCCTTGCTCAAATCTCCCAATAGCTGTATCAATTATAGGACTAAAACCCAGGTTTCTCATCATGGCCCCTGCCTTCCTCTCTGACCTCATTTCATTCCACTCTTTCCCCAGTCCCACCAGCCCCACTGGCCTTCCTTCCTTCCTTCCAACACTTCAAACTTATTCCTGCCTCTTGACCTTTGCCCTTGCTCTTCTACCAGCCTGGACAAGGTCTCAGCTTCAATGTCACCTTCCAAGGGAGGCCTTCCAGATCTTTCTGGCTAAAGCAGCATCCTGACAAGTTCCCCATACCCACAGGCAGTCTCCTCTTTCTTCATGGCATTTCACTCTATCTGCATTTAATAGTTTCTATGATGATTGTTTGTCTCCATTCACTAAAGTGAAGACTTCAGAAGAACAGCGATGTTATCTTGTTCACCCCTCCATCCCTGGCACCAAGAATCCACCTGGCACAAAGAAAGTACTCAGAAATATGTGGATGGCTAATCAATAAGTGAATTTCTGTGGTACTCCATGGGACCAGGTTCTTTGGCAGATATCGGGACATGGGTAATTGGCCTCGAAACTCTCCTGCATTTTCCACCCCCCTTCATTACGAGAGTTTCCTTACAAAGGAGTTGACCCTTTTGTATTTGTTACTCTCGTTTACTTCCACCTTGGGATACTATGTTCCTCTGATGGATATGATCTGGGGGATGCCTGGTCATCCGAGCTCTGTTTCCGTGTTCACAGCCAACTAAGCAGTGCTGGGGTGGACAGCCTCGTAAGGAGGGCCTTTCGTGTCAATGAGTCCAGGGGATTGGAGGTGGGTTTGTTCTGGGCCTTACACCCCCTTAGATGCTCCCCTTAGGTTGTCAGAATCAGAGAATTCTTAGATCTCAAGAGCTTAGCGTCTCTTTGAGAGCTCAATAAATACTCACCTTAGTGAGGTGTCAGAGCTGGGGGGGAACGGGGACATGTGTGTTGAGTCAGTGGAGAAAGCATAACAACGGGCCTAAGCTGCCCCAAACTTGGGAACCAGCCGCCGAGGATTTCTACAGAAACTGCTCTGGACCAAGAGTGCTCCCATGGGTACTTGCCTAAGAGATCGAGTGTCTTCGTGCTCAAGCAGAGTGATATTTATATCTTACTGGTTTTATGTTACTGTGTCCCCCTTTAGGAATGCAGTGAAAAAAGCTCTTGTTTTGGTTGGCATATCCCAGGAATAGTGCTCTTCTATCTGGTTTCTGCTTTTATGGGCGATCTTTCATAACTCTGTTTCTACTCTTCAGAACCACAATCATTGCCTTGCCCTTCTCTCTTGCAAAAATGATTAGAGCACTGAGTGCACAATATGGAAAGGCCTTTGGGTGAGCCTGAACCCCTGTCTGTTAGGTCTCTGTGACTCTTAGCCATCTCATCCTCCCACTAAACTTGGAGCCTTGGTTTCTTCTTTTTGTAAAATGGAATTAATAACATCCCCTGACAATTACCCAGGGTTACGGGGAGGATCAAACAAAATAATGATCATAAATAAGGAGCTCTGAAAATACTAAATCACCATAGGAAGGAAGGCATCATTATTATTGTTTTCTTTAGTGTCATGAACAACTTCTATTAGGCAATGCAACATAATTACTCTCGAGGCACGCCCACTTTAAGTCCTGGTTTCTCGGGAGCTCATGATCCAAAGTTCCTGACTTACCATATCTTTCTCAAGAGGTCCCATTAGCAAGCTGCTTTGGAAGAGATTTGAGACAGGATATGCCAGAAGCTACTGAGCCTGATCTAGTCTACCCCAAGGAGCAAAGGTGTTTGAGGTTGGTTATTGGAGCAATGGCAAATAAAGCTGATTGGTGATGGCCATGTTCTCTTCCTGGGCCAGTCTGAGGGTACTACAAGGGAAAGCTCTGGATCTTGGTATCAAACCTTGCAGCAGTCCCAAATGGAAAGAGAGTCAGCTCCCATTTGGGAGACAGCACCCTCGGACTCAGTTTCCCTTTCAGCCCTAGTACAGCCATCTTCACACTTGGTGGTCCCGTATCCACTGGAAATCACATTGCAAAAATACTCCCTCCTCCATGGTCTTAGCTGTCCTCCTTTTCATGCACCGTACTGACTATGTTCAAGTGGACACAACCACTTTGGCATCCCTTCAGGGTCCGGAGGTGGGGATTAGGCACTAGGTTCACTCAAAGGTGCTGATGGTGGGGATTTTTCATCCTCCGCTCTAATAAAGCAAGGACAGGCATTTTTTCATGTCTCTTTAAACTGCTGGGTGAAACATAAACATAGTCAAGAAACCTCTTGATGTTTAGTGTTTCTTTAATAGGAAAAGGAGAAGGGAAACGAATTTGGGGAAAGGAAAAGGGGGGGAGGGGGAAAGAAACACTACTTACGCCGTTTGCAGCCGCATTTTTTTATTCTTTTGGGATCTGTGATGTCATCATGACAGGCCTTGCAGTAAAAAAATGCCCTGGAGAAAGAGAATGGAAAAACTGACACGTTTCATAATCCACCCGAATGAAACAAGCACCACATTTCCTCCACCGTGGTGCCAAATTAATGAAACACGCCAACACTAATTTCCTTTCATCTTTTGAAAGGTTTAGACGTTTACAGACGGGAATGTTTGTTGCAAGACCTTTTATTTCAAACCCAGGATTCTGCAAATTGAGTTAGTGCTTCTTTTAATATACTTTCCTTTGAAGAGGAACTGGGGGAATGGCTGCTGATGGGACACCCTGGGTCTGCTGGCTTGTCTTTCGTTTTTGAGCACGGCATTCAGTGCCGCTCATCAGAACACGCCGGCAACCAGCCCCGGGCCCTTGGTGGGGAAGTTGAATCCATCTCCGAAACCCTTGCCATCTGGTCAGATATTTATCAAAGGGGCCCCAAGGATAAAGTTCCACCGTCAAATAAAAACATTAGCCTTGTCACTCGGAAAGCCCATTTCTTTTCAAAATGAGAGAGGTTAAGGAGGAAGGTGGACAGGGAAAGACAAAAGTGGTGAGTCAAAGGGGTCCTCTGTCAGATGTTGGCGGGGATGCGGAGAAAGGGGAACCCTCCTACACTGTTGGTGGGAATGCAAGCTGGTGCAACCACTCTGGAAAACAGTATGGAGGTTCCTCAAAAAGTTGAAAATAGAGCTACCATATGATCCAGCAATTGCACTACTGGGTATTTACCCCAAAGATACAAAAGTAGGGATCCGAAAGGGTACATGCACCCTGATGTTTATAGCAGCAATGTCCACAATAGCCAAACTGTGGAAAGAGCCAAGATGTCCATCAACAGATGAATGGATAAAGAAGATGTGGTATATATATACAATGGAATATTATGCAGCCATCAAAAGGAATGAGATCTTGCCATTTGCAACGACTTGGATGGAACTGGAGGGTATTATGCTGAGCGAAATAAGTCAAACAGAGAAAGACATGTATCATATGACCTCACTGATACGAGGAATTCTTAATCTCAGGAAACAAACTGAGGGTTGCTGGAGTGGGGGGTGGGGTGGGAGGGATGGGGTGACTGGGTGATAGACACTGGGGAGGGTATGTGCTCTGGTAAGCACTGTGAATTGTGCAAGACTGTTGAACCTCAGATCTGTACCTCTGAAAAATATAATGCAATATATGTTAAGAAAAAAAAAAAGAAGAAGAAGAAGATAGCAGGAGGGGAAGAATGAAGGGGGGAAATCGGAGGGGTAGACGAACTATGAGAGATGATGGACTCTGAAAAACAAACTGAGGGTTCTAGAGGGGAGGGGGGTGGGAGGATGGGTTAGCCTGGTGATGCGTATTGAGGAGGGCACGTTCTGCATAGAGCACTGGGTGTTATGCACAAACAATGAATCATGGAACACTACATCTAAAACTAATGATGTAATGTACGGGGATTAACATAACAATAAAAATATGGTCAAAGGGGTCCTGTCAAATTTCTTCTGGCATTTCATAGCCCATAGTTGCTCCCAAACTAGAAGGACCAACTCCCATATTCTCCAGCCTCGAGATCATGTAATAAATGGAGGTTTTCTTCTCACGGTAAAAGCACAGCTCAGCTGAGCACTGCAACGGGGTGGGCAGAGGGCACTCTAGGGTTGGGTACCCAGTGGAAGCAACCAATAAGAAAATCCCCTTGACTGACCTCAAGTGTCAAGCTGTGATTACCAAGCACACTGGCTGTGTCAAAGATACTCTGGATGAGACAAAACAAGATCATTCAAGCACAGAATGCATAGGACCTAGAAGAACAGCACTGGAGGCCTATATCCTTTCAGCATGGGAGATTACTGGGAAAAAATTCACTGGAACAACCTTACAAGCTCTGGATATGGGGACTAACAAAATCCTTGGCTTCACCACTCCCAACATGAAATTGAACTCTTGCCTTGACCAAGACTACAAAGAAAGAAACACAATTCTTGACCATTCTATTCCTAGATTCCTTTTTATGTTTTCACAGGACTTGCACATGTGATTGGCTCCAGGTGGAAACCAGTGTTAAGACTTTGGGATCTGGAAGAGATCATGGAGGTTCCCAGGACTCAGTGTCCTTATCTGTAAATTGAGGAGGTTGTCAACAACCTGCCAAAAGTCATCCTGTGCTGGGCTTGGCTGGGCCCAGGACTTCTAAATCCAAGCCCAATGCTCTTTGTGCCCTAACAGTTCATTCACTATTTCTTTAAATGCTAGTGTTCACCTGTCTTGAAAGAAAGAAAAAGAAAGAAGAAAGAAAGAAAGAAAGAAAGAAAGAAAGAAAGAAAGAAAGAAAGAAAGAAAGAAAGAAAGAAGGTAGCTGATTGTTTGCCCTGAGTGGCAATGTGGCTAAGAAAGGGGAAGGACAGGAATGGAGGAAGCCGTTTTGTTTCCACTTCCTTTGGCCATTTTCTCCCCCACCTGATGCTCCTACAGATAATAATAATGACAACAATAACAGGGAACATTTATAGAGCACAGACTATAGGCCAGGTGCTATTCTAAGCACTTTATAAGTATTAATGAATTTGATTCTCAAACAACCCTTTGAAGGAGTAATGATTATCTCTGTTTTACAGATAAGGAAACTGAAGCACAGGGAGGTTACATGACCTGCCTATGGTCATGCAGAGCCAGGATTCAAGTCCACACAGCCTAGTCCCAAAGCTCAAGGTCTTAAAGAAATCTCTAATAAAGAGATGATGAAACAGTGATGAGTCTGAGTAGACTGTCGAGAAGATCAAGTGGATTACTTCATGAATTAAAGCTAGATTCTGAAAATAAAGGTAAAGATAATGAGTGAGATGGGGCCAGGGAGCGGGGGTGGGAGTGGGGTCTCTGGTCTGCAGTCCTGGAGACACATTTCCCACCCAGAGGGAGCACAGTATCTAAGTTTTGCCAGCTGAGTTTTGCCAAGTGGCACTTCTTCGCAAGCATCATGCTCTTCCCCACCCGTCTCTGCCTCTCTCATGCCCACCTGGCAAAGCCCCCACCTTATCGCACACCTGCACCTGAGCAGCTGAGCTCAGGAAAGGAAACACAACCATGCTGACTGATCTCACTTCAAATCCATGGCCATAGATTCCAGAGGACTTTTCACACCCCTCAGGCCTACTGCATATCCCCTCCTTCCACCTCAACCCTCTCTGCTCTCCTCCCCACTTCCTCTCCTGTTCACCCCACCCCTTCATCAAGTGGCCCTCAGCTGGTGAACTTGAAACATGCATCACCAAGAAGACCCGATCCATACCCCAGAAAGCTGGTCTTTAGGGTGTCTTTGTCCTCTGGTTTCCTGTTGTGTCCAGCCAATCAGAGGAGCCAGCAGGAGACTAGAGGATGGGAAGGGAGAGTTCCTCCCTGCTGGGTCATGAATTGGTGGTGGCCCCCTCTGCACACTATAGAGCACCCAGCTCCTGCCAGGCAGCCTTTCCTACACTACAACATCTCTCTCCAGGTTCTGATAGCTCTCCTTCCCCTTAACGCTGTAGATTCAGGGCTGAGAATGGCTCCCCTCTGTTTCTAGCTCTGAGGTGCTTTGCCATCCCTTGTTGGTTTTCCTTAACTCTCTGCCCACAACTTTATATGGTCCCTTCATAAAACTCTCCTCTCTTTTCTCATTTAGGTGTGTCATCTGTTTCTGGCCAAGACCCTCCCTGATACAGCTCCCAAACTGACACCTCGAGCTCCCATCTTTCCCCCCAGACTCCAGAATCTTAGATCTGCCTTTATGACTACTCTATGTGCATGTTTTGTACATATCTCCTACTTAACATAGCCAAACAGAATTCTTAATTTCCTACACCCCAAACTTGCTCTTCTTCCAGCTTTCCCCATCTCAGTAAGGTGGGGAGCCAACAAACACCCAATTACATAAGCTCCAAATCTAGGCTCCATTCTTGATTCCTCTTTTTTCCCCCTCACTTCTTATATGCAGTCCACCAGTGGGCCCTATAGACTCTCTAGTAAAATATATTCTGAATCAGTCTTCTTTGTCTGCACCTCCACTCACCAGCCTAGCCCACGTTATTCTCCCTCGCCTACACTATGCAGTCTCCCTGTCTCTGGGCCCCTTCTCCTGTGGCACTACATCTCATTCTTTATAATGGAAGGGAAAGACCTTTCAGTAATGTAAATCAGACTATATCACCCCCAGCTTAAAACCATCAATGACTCCATTTTATAACAACCCAACCCCTGTATCAAGTCCTATGAGAGCCAGCCCTGCCTTTCTCTCTTACCTCATCTCCCCACACTACTCCATCAGACACTTTCCTTCCCTTGGCTCCCTGCACACAACACTGTCCCCACCTGTCTCCTTTTCCCTTCCAATCTTTGTATGACAGACTCTTTCCCATCACCTCCATCTGTGCTCAAATGTGGCTCCTTCAGAGCAGCCCTCACACACAATCTAAATCAGTGCCCCAGTTGCATTAATTCTTTGATTAATGTACCATAAATAAACAAAACTACAATTCTCTCCTCCCTAGAACATGAGCCCCTGAGAGCAAGGACTTCGTTGTTCACCACTGCTTCCCTGGCAGCTGGTACGGAGTGTTCTCTAAAGTGGACCTGCAGACATTTGATGGATGAATGAGTGTGAGAATGCTGCCCAGTAATGTTAGATCTGCCAAGTTTTTCAAGAGAAACCAGGAATAGGGATTTTTAGATAAAATTTGATGATGTCTTCCTCTTGGCAACTCATTTATTTGTTAAAATTGTGAATCAAATAAATCCTGTCTGCAAGCCAAACTGAGTCAATGGGGTACCATTTTGTGATTCCTACATCAAAGACTATGGGCCAAGGTCATTTGAAAAGGAAAATATTTAGTGGCAAGGAATAGGGGACAAGTGATCAAAAGTTCATCCCGAAGTGACCTTTCTAAGACTGGAATGGATGGTTTCACTCCTCTTTTCCTCTGCATCTGAAAGTTTCTGTGAGCTAAAATCCATTAGCTTCTTTGGTTGCTTGTTTGTAGGAGAGGGTACAAACTCAATCCTGGATCATCATAATCAACTTTTCCATTTTTACAAAACTTGTTTAGTTTCATTCAAATCACCAAGGCCCTTTCTGTGGTTTTCTGCAGTCTTCATCTATTTGAAATCCCCTAACTGACAGCAGTTGCTCAGACACATCACACACTATGGAAAATTACAGGCTTGTGTTGTAGCTGATTTGTGTCAGCATGTATTTGTGAATACCATAAAGCACTGAAATGAGACATATTGCACTCCCTAATATAGGAGGTAATTTGTTTTTTGGACCGCCTGGTATTTGCGACATTCATTAGTGAGAGATGCAATAGGAAATAGAATTACACAAATGGGAGCTCCGTGTTATATTTGCTATCTGGGAGGTACACGTGATCTACGGCGCCGCTGTGCTCCCCAGCACGCCCCCCTCCCCCACCCCTATACATGGTGTTGAGATGCTGCTTGTGTGTCTCGCAGTCTGGATATGAGCATAACCTTCTATTCCAGGGGACCTGGGTGGGGGGCTTCAGTCCCATTCACCCCCACTTTCTGCTCAGGTGAACCCAGTTCTCAAGGTACTCCCGAAGAACAGGCAGGACCCATGAACTGGATTAGAAGGTTTTCCTGTCCCCATCTGAATAATGGCAGTTCTTTCCCAATTTGTAGAAGTAAACTTAAGCCATTAGCTCAGTTGAAAGAATTTTTCTTTTTTGTTGTTTTTTTGTTTTTGTTTTTCTGTGGTTTTTTTTGCTTCTCCACCAACTTTTTCCCCCCCTAAAAGCTTTTATAACTAGTATGGCTAGTTTGCAAGAGTGGATAAAGAGGAAAAAAGTAATAGGCATCAGCTGTCAAATATCCTAGTTCTGTGCTCAGCTCATCAGGCTCACCTCTTGGCAAAGAATTAAGAAGGTAAGCTCTGGCACTGGACTTCCTGGTTTTTGATCCTGGCTTTACTACTCCTTAGCAGTGGGGCTTTGAGCAAGTTAGTTCACCAATCTGCACCTCAGTCTTTTCATGTGGAAAATGAAAACAGTAAGGCTACCTATCTCACAAGGTTGTTGAGAGGATGGCGTGAGTTCATGGCACCTGGTACTTAGAGCAGGGCTGGCACCTATTAAACTCTACATAAGAATTTGCTAGTATTATTTAATTTCGTAGAAAGTGTGGGTTTGGGAAAAAGGAAAGACCATTTCCAATCCGGGCTGTGCCACTTGCTTATGTGCTAACCTTGGACAAATCATTTATCTCAACCTTACAGATGAGGAAACCAAAGCCCCAAGGGCTTTAGAAGACTCACCTTATGAGGTTATTCTGAGGACTGGCAATAACGAACACAGAACCCTTAGCACAGGCCTGGCCTTGAGTGGGAACTCATTACATGAAAACAATAGGCTTCCAAAAATAATTATAGACCTTTCACAATTAATCATTTATTTGAAATATTCTAAGTAACATCATTGTTAAAGTCGGACTGCTGGAGCCGCATTTTCTGCTAATAAGTTTTTCAGAGTTCATAGGATAGACTCAATATAACAATATTCCATGGTGTTCTCCAAAGAGCCCTATGATTCCTAGGCTGCTTAAACAGGTTTAAGGATACTAATAAAAGTGTCGTAAAACATTGAGGTCAATGAAATCCTGGGCTGTACCTACAGAGGCTTAAGAATTGAATCTGACAACTTCAACTACTTACCTAGAAGGCCACAAATAGAAATATAGCTAACTGAATATTTCATCTGAAATGAATCCAAACCTTTTGAGATTCCATTTGGCACTTAGATTAGAAAGCTGATAATACTTGAGTAAATCTGCCTGGATATTAGGTCAAAAGTACTAGACAAGGAACCAGTTGTCCTGTGTTATGTTGTTCTCAGTCATCAAGAATCAGGTTGACCCTGAACAATTGCTTCAGTTCTCTGGGACTCAGTTTCCTCCCTTGGAAAATGAAGGAGCAGTTAACTAGGCCCTCCTAGTTCTAAAATATTGTTACTCTAATTCAAAGATGTGGAATCAACTATGTGAAGAGGAGTTCATGGAAGCATTTGAAAGAATAGTCTCTTTTTCCCAAGACTTGGCACCATTGATACCCATGGACATGTTAAGAACTTTTGGGGTTAGGGCCCTATACATATGGAAAGCATGCCCATTATGGTGGATCAAGATGTCTATGGCTGGGCCAGAAAGGAAGGCAGATAAATATGAACTCTTACCTTTTAACTTCTTTGGCATCACTTGCGATGAAAAATCCTAAAGTACCTTCTTGGATCTTAAGATGGTTTCCAGGATTAATTAATATACTGCTCAGTGAACAAAAACAAACAAAGAAGACACATTTGTGAGGTCATGTTCTGAATAAAACCTTGAAGGCTACACTGTACTGTTAATTTTATAGGGGGCCCACTAGTCTAATGCTTTTCCCAAAGGTGTTGTGTAGAGCTTGATGTCCACAGTCCCAGACATTTAAGTGGATAAGGCCATCATAAAGCTCTGCTGCTCAGTTCCCAGGTTGGCATACTCCCAGTTGCAGAAATCAAAGCACATCTAGGTTTCAGGGTTGGGGGTATATAATGGGGTAGCCATCATGGGCTTCTGATATGATATGTAGCCCTTTGGAAACTTCTGTTAATGGTCAACATTGAATGTGATTGGTCTAATAAAGCTACTGCTATAACAATTTTCTGTTAGATGACAGAGCATTAATGGGACCCCTATATGCATCCAGAAACATACGCATATACACGTATTACTGCAGGGAATGGTACATGACAACTGTAACCAATGCAGAAGCAAACATTACATCTGCACGACATTGGTAAAGACATGTAAGTGGACTCCGCGTACAGCCTATGTAGAACAAATTGGATCTACCCAAACAGTGAAAAAGAAAAATGCCAGCAGTTGGAAATGATTCCAGTCTGCTTTTACCAACATGCATGGGAGTGTTTGAATGAAGTGTGTGTCTGGTACCTCCTGATTGGGGCAAACTCTAATTATAAAACAAATGCAAATCATCCCCAAAAACAAACAAACAAACAAAAACCTTCCCCTTGCAGGGAAGTATGGACCTAAATATACACTGTCCTATTTCAAAGTGTTATAAGTAGATTAGCTGACCAAGTTGTGCTTGGACTGACAAAAGAGATACATGTATCCTAATCTAATAAATGGGTGAAACAAACAAGTTTAATTTTCTGCAGATCAAGAACAGAATGCAGGAATGTACGATAAAGAGACTGAAAGGCTTTGGGCTTAATGGACAGGGAGGGAATTTGGGTACTGTGAATGCAGGAATAGATACAACAAAGGTATTCTCTGATCTGAAAAGCCGACTTCAAGGTAATAGATGTTTGGAATCAGGCTAAAGGAAGTCCTCAACTGTCTAAGACAATCAAAATGGAGGATGGTAATTAACATGTAATTTTTTACTGCTGGCAAAACCGCTCCGGGAAAGTGCTGTGGCCAACAGAGTCATGCGTCTGCAGCAATACAGGGAGGACCCAGGTGAGCTTTTGCTCTGCCAGGAGGACTCAGAGTGGAGCATTACGGCAAAATAATTGTTTGTGGTCTCAAGAACATCCACTATTACCCATAACGAGACCTGACAGAAGGAAACCGATCCTGTGTCATCACTGTTATTAACACTAAATAATAGGCAGGGACCATGATGATTGGTCTGTTCTGCCCTAGAACCACAGGCTACAATGAGATTCTTCACAAATCAGGAAGCAGCAGACCACACTAATAGCAACAGCTTGCAATGAGCAGTGGCACTGGACAGGCACCTCCTAATTACCCCCCTGCCAGTTCTTTATGTTGGTTTAACAGCCCTCTGACTTCTCATGATCACGAGGGGAAAGGGTCAGAGCTTAGACAGCTTAGATGGACTCCTTTTTCAAAGCCAATTAAATGTGATGTCGTAAAAGGGCAGAATGCTGGATTTTGCACACTTTCTTACCCCCTTTGCTGTAAGGTGTACTTGTATGCCCTGGCTCTGTGATCAGAAATTGCACCCAAATTTCAGCATCACCATTTAGTAGCTCTCTGGCTTTTGGGCAAATTACTAAATCTCCCTCAAACTCAATATCCTCATCTACAATGAGGATGATAATCATAGTCTTTCTTCAGAGGATTAAGCAAGATGATGCACTGAAGGCTCAATGCATATTGGTTATTGTTACTCTTATTATTTATTACTGCAAGAAAAAAAAAGCCAAAAGTGTATTTCGTTTTCAATGGAATTACCAGATTTTCTTTAGCTGGCCCCATGGAATGGAACACAGGGCTCCTTATCAAAATATCCTGTTCAAAATGAGATGAAGTTACAGGGTAAAGAACCGTACATTCCAGAATAGTGTACAAGGACATACATGAAAAACTCTGGGTATGTATGGTGTCTAAAGAAGCTAATTTCTGAAAGCTGGGAAAATCTACATTTTGATATGTATTTATATAAGAGCGTAAAAAAAGCTTCTGAGTGAAAAAAATCCTATCATGATTTCAACGATGCAATTCAAAAGGGGAAATTTGACACTCATCAATGTCTTGGTGACATATATGTGCAAAACAAGCCTTGCACAGAATCCTTTTTTACATTATATGCTTCATTAATTGCACTCCAGTGATCAAGCCCACTGTGTCACGGGAGAACGACAGTGATAGCAAGCTTCCTATCAATGAGAAGTTTCTTTTCATTTCCTCTGTTCTTTATCAACAGTGAACAAGAATTGGCTTACAATGAGAATTGGGATTGTCATCCCAGAGACTGCAGGTTGAGATCATTTATTACAGCCTGCAAGCCTGCTTTAGTCAAGGTAGTGTGGTGGTGAGGAAAGATCTGGGGCACTGATGGAAGGCAGATTTGTGTTCAAATCTGGTTAAGCGCTGGTTAAGCGAGCAGGTGTATGTGTCAGGCCTAGGAGTTCAGACCCTGGCCTGAGGCAAGTGGATGCCACTCAGCCTCATTCTCCTCCTCTGTGAAATGGAGTGAATAATCTCTAGCTTACGGTGTTACTAAGAGAATTAAAGTACGTGCCATGTGCTAAGTGACTGCCACATAGTAGGTCCTTAATGCATGCTATTAATAGTAAGCATGGTTATTAAAACAACTAAATGAGAAGCAAACAATCTCTCACGTGGTCTCAGCTCCCCATTTTGTCCTTGGTGCTAATAAATTACCAGGAGGCCCCCTATTGGCATTTGAAAGACCTTTTTACTGACTGCAGTATCCAAAACATTACATCCCTCTATAACATCTGGAGATGGGCTAATTTGGACTGGCTTTTTCCTACAGAGTGGAGTGTCTATCTGTTCCTCAAACCTTATGCACTTTCAAGACATCACTGCCCGTGTGATTCCAGGGTGCCTTCTGGTTCTCTTTTGGAGAGGGCTTAAGGAGGGGTAGGAAGCTTTAAATCATCTCTTTACATGATGTGTGAGGCTGTAGGCTCACATTAGCAGCTATCCAGATCAGGGGAAGGCAGCCTTTTGGGTGGGAATTGAAAGAACCAGCCCAGATCTTGAGAATAATGAAGGAAAGAAATCTAGATACATAAGAATCTTCACTGTGCTGGATTCCACTCATATATTTAAGGGTTTGGTTAGAGAAACATGTGCCCCTGATTCCAGAGCCCACTGCCTATAATACTCCCTATGTCAGGGTACAAGGTTTCAAAGACTCTTTGAGGAAATGTGTTACTCTCTCCACTACTGTAGACATTAAGTCTTCTATACACACGCCAAATCTAGAAAATTTAAATAAAACGTTAATCCTCCTCTTTTTGAAAATATAAAAGACATAAGGATCCTAGACAGAAGTAATTTTTTTCCCAGCAAAGTGCCTACTACCCTCAGAATGGGTTATTGACCTCCTACTGGGAATATGTAAATCTTTCCAATGGTCTTTGCTCTCTTGAAAGAATATCCAACATTAAGTTTGTTTTGCTCTTATGACTGCCAGAAGTCTCCCTCCCTGGGCATCATGTTAAATCAGTCCTTGGTTCCAATTTTGCCTAATTCACTAGCTTACCAGAGAGATAAACTTCAAGATGTGTCATGTGAAGAATCAAGAGAATCTCTAAGAAAAAGTCCATATATCAATTAGCAGAATTCCAATAGAGACATCTTGGCAAAGATGGACTTTCCCTCATCTCAAGGAACATATAAATTATCCTCTTTCTTCTATGACCTTGCTAATTTCAACAGAAAACATTCAGTGGCAGCTGGAGGCAAAGGGCTTATGTAGCTCCTTCCCAGAGAATTCTTGCTCTCTCTTTTTCTTTGGCTCTCAGACTACTTTTTTATCTAGACTGATTCTTTGGCTTTTTGCCCACTATAAGGAAACAAATACATATTTTATGTGGGGAACGCATAGTTGAAAAAGAGGAATGAAAAGCATGATCATATTTTATTTATTTTTGTAAATAAGTTTCTCATAGTAGCCACCTTAGAGCCCTGTATGCAATAGGCACTTTTCAACTACTTGTGGAATGAATGAAAAATATAAATCACTGGTCTCAGCTCCAAAAGTGTTCCTTTCCCTCTCCAGTAAGGAGAAAGGTAGTCACAACTGTTCTTTCGAAAACTGAGTAGCAATTCTTACCAGTCAGGACTACTAAAGGAGCCACCACACCTTTTCTAGGGGGTTGGCAAGTGAGCTAACAATCTCCCAGATGCACTAAGTACAAAAATGTAAATATACAAATACATAAACAGCTAGCCACTTGCAGAGTAGGAGCAATTGATTTCAATATTGAAAGCACCACTCACTTAGAGTTGAAATAGGTTTCCAAACTAAAACACCAGAACATAGAACTGGCTAGCAGGGCTCAGTTCAATAGAGAAATGTCCCTGTCAGTTTCCTCCAGGAGGGGAGGTCCAGGCCTCAAGCTACAATGCATTTCATTGTGTATGTCTTGCTGAACTTTAGTCAAGTTGGAGATTTGGGGCTTGACGGGGCAAAATGATTTATTCCTTTTCTCAACCACTTATGCGTAACAACTAGGAAACATCTACTTATTCCTTCTTCAATCATCATAAACTTTACTTGTTTGCTGTTTTTGGAGACAACCAATGATGAATAGTTCAACTGAACCATATTTTTTAAAGGAATCCTTTATCCATTATGGGTAGATATGATGGGTGTGTATTTCTCCTCCCCCCCCCTCAATTTTTGGTAGGTGTAATGTACCATTCCCCGAACAATTACAAAATTATCAGTCACATGAGAATAGAGTTTTTACTTGATAACATGATAATTATATCTGTGTCTAGCAAGCTAATGGGACTTCATTAACTAGAGCAAGGGAATAAGAAGCACCTAAGATTTCAGTTCACGCCGTGCCCAGATGAATCACGCCACTGGGGAGTGGCCTCTTTGACCACCCATGGTCATATATGATTGCTATTGGGTGGGACTTTGAGCCAATTGTCTCCCCTCTCAGGAGCACAACTGCCCTGCGGTTTATGGGCTGTGTGAGGGCACAGCCTACAGAAACCCCAAATCTCAAATCTAATTGCCTTTCTGGAACTTTTCAATTTTTTCTAGGCTTTCAAATATATGCTGCTGGAGTCCCACACAACTAGACACACACACTTTTACTTAGAGAATATATGTAGGAGACACAGTGCGTATTCCATGCTTCAATATACTTGAACCCAGTTCGCTCACGCAGAGACAGCATAGTAAAGATTGCTCCCAGTTGGTCAGACTCAAATGCCTGCCACTGCGGTCCGCCAATGACATGGGCAAGGAATTGTTTTGCCTGAACCCATCACAATGAGTTTAGAACTGGCATTTAAAAATATATTTGACACATAAAACAGTAGCCATAGGGGATGGGGAAGAGATGGCTCATTTGGGAAGGACAATGGCGGCTATTTGGCTCTGGGAGCAAGCCATGTCACTTTGTGGTACACTTTATGACAAGTCATGCTACATCACAACATGCCTCCATCACAAGATAAAAGGACTCAAAGGCCAAAAGCCAACAGCAGAGGTGCAACCACTGTGGACCTTTGAAGATGCAAAGTGTTGCAGTAACTTCTCGCAGTTGGATCATATCAATAATACCAAACTGACAGGAAGCCACCTCTATTGTCACACATCTAGTCCAAAAATCACAGAAGAAATCGGACTTTGGAAAGAGTTCCAGACAAATACCCTCACCTCACACACACACACACACACACACACACACACACACACACACAAATTACAAACACGAACACGTGACAGTGATTCCAACCACGGAGAGAAACAACTCTTGAGAAGATGAACACAAAGGCATCTCAATAGTATGTTTTCAACAGTATTGTTTTAGAGAACACATTATTGAAAAACTACACTGGAAATATTAACCGAAAAAGCTAAAAGAAAATGCTGTCGATGAGGATTTGGTCATGCTTCATGCAACAGAAATCAGAGCAAAACAGGGTGATGTCACATGGTGAAAGCGGAGAAACTTCACATTAAGAAATGTGCCCAAACACAGCAGGGAAAAAATAAAGCCATGAGTTCATCTCAATAAACAGTACTCATTCACTAAACCAAATGTGATGATTGGGCGATTTGGTAGCAGTGTTCTAAGTCTGTACAGAGTACTGCCCAAGAAATAAAATACGCAAAATGTTATCATCAAAACAAGTGTAAGGGGAAAAAAAGTTGAGTGTTAGTTGAGCTTGGTCTCTGTTTTGTGGATAAAAGGACACGAATCCTGCTCTATAAACGGGAAACCGGACATGGGGAGGAGGAAGTCACTGGGAATGTGGATGTGGTATGCAGACAGATGGCACCACAGAGCCTGGTGGACACCGAGACACATCAGGACAGGACAGAAACAGACACCAGGGGCTGGAGAGGAGCATCCTCCTTCTCAACACTGATGGCTCTGGTTCCCATCATCGGTGCCATGACTGAACACAGGGATTGTACCTGTTGGGTTTTTAGGTCTCCTGCAAAGAAGTTAGTGCGTCATCCAAAAGAATCAACCAACTGAACAAGAAAAGCAATATGCTACTTTCAATTTCTCTGTGCTCTAGTTGGAGAGGGGTTTAACTATAAATAAATAAATAAATAAATAAATATGTATATATATATACATATATATATATAGACAAGGGAATGAGATTATATGTATGTGTATACATATATATAATCTCTATCTTCCTGAATTCTTGGCAAATGGTTAGTCCTGTGGTTAGCAGTGAAGATAGCGGGTGGGGGTTGGGAGGAAGGTTAACGAAGAGCGCATACCGCTTTCGGCTTCTGCAAAACGACAAGAAAAGAATTTAAAATCAAACAATTTGATAATAAATTGACTGACACCAGAAGGAAAGAAGGAACAAAACCTTTGTTTCAAATTATTTGAAGGATGCATGTGAAAACAAGGTTTTTCAGCAGAGCATGGAAAAACAGCGTCATGGGGTAAAACAACAGAGGAGGTAGTTCAACACAGGCTGGGGGCAAGGGGTTGGGAAAGGAGAGGCTGGGTTCTCCGAGTCCTAACACCCAGCCACTTAGAAAATGGGAGAAGGAAGGAAATGGGAAATTCTTTAATGAAGGAAAAAAAAAATCAAAATTCTTATCTTGGGAAGGGTCAAAAACTCAATTCTTTTTTAGTATGGATATTGTGTTTGAGAAGTTTGGTGTTTTCTCAGAGGCATGATCCACATTCCCTCCAACACACCTTTTTCCACAAGAACCAATGTGCTTCCACACTGAGACCAAGCCACATGAGGGGATTAAAGTCGGTAACGGCACACAGAAAGCCAAAAACAAAGCCAAACAAGTCCTTTCCGCTCTTTTCTGAAAGGAAAAAAAAATCTAAAAATCTGTATCTACAAATATGGCTTTGTTGAAAACATCTCAGATTTGTGAGTTAATTGGAGGGTCCATCAAAGAAAAGACTTTGTCTTCAGGGAAGGCTCTTAGTTATTTTTCTTAGAATAGTGACAGCAGATTCACACTGAACCATTAACAGGCTTTTTCTCTCCCTCCCTGTGACCAAAAGGTGGCAGGTGGGAGATGACTGGTCAAGGTTCAGGGGGCAGACTCCTGCCATGAAATTATACCAGGGTGGTCAAGAGGCGCTATGTGGCATTAGCGCCATCCACACCATGACACTTTCTGAAAGATGCACAAAAGGGATAAAGAGAGAAGACTGAATTACACAGATTTACTGATGTGGCAACATGAAGAATATCATTGGCAAAAACCCAGGATACATGTTGCCCCCTCCACAGGCAAAGGTGACTACTGGCCACCACATGGGAAAGCAGTAATCCCAGAAACCCCCACTTTCTCTGTTGAACAGCAAAGAGCCAGGACTCCGGCTCCCATTTTTTTTGCACATAATATTCTTCACTTTGCCAACACAAAAAAGAAAACCTTATCTATACATAATTATTAACTGCTACGGCCATGTTTTACACGTGGCCACCAAATCTACCATTTTTATTTCCTCTTGGTTGATTTGGATTTTCCAAATAGCTTAGCCTTTGATCAGATTGACTTTGTGAGCAATCTGATCTGGTGGTTAAGGTAACAGAGAACATTGGATTGACTTGCTCACAATCCAGTGTCTTCTCGTTTTGTTTGGTTTGGTTTGGTTTGGTTTTCGTTTGGTTTTGTTTGTCAGAGACGCAGACTGTATGTTTGGAAGTCTGGCTTCATTGAGTTATTCATCCAGATAATGAAAACTCCTTAGATGGTGATAGCAGGCACCTTCTAGTCTTGCCCTGCACTCAACATATTAAGGCACATGTTGGAGAGGATCTGTACCCCACACTATGCCACTGGAAGACTTATTTACTATAGCTAGGAACAAACCCGGATGTCATCTTAGAGGACAAAAGCCCACGTAGTTCTCAATGAGCTCTTTCTTCCAAACCCATTGATAAAAATTGGGGAGCAAAAAAATCGTCTTTATTTTATCTGTAATGCATACAGTCCTGCATCAGCAAACTCCCCTGTTAATGGGATGCTTCCTTCTTCCAGTGTGAACTCATATATTGACTGGGCTGTTTTCTATTTCAACCAGACCCAGGCCCTCATCAGCCTGATCTGTACGTAATTAAGTGCAAAATAAATAAATAAAGAGGGCTCCTGCCTCTGAGCCCTGCTCTCCTGGCTAATTTACATGAAGCTGATATTCTGCCACCTGGATTTCGGTTGCACCGGGAAAAGCACATATGGTTCACAATAGGCTGCTTGTAATTTGGCTATCAAGAGAGCTGGTGTGTCCCATCACAGCCCTGCCCCATCCCTGCTGTGAAGGAGGCCAGAATCCACCTGCTTCGTGCTCACGACAGTAAACAGGGGTTTGAGGACAGGGCTTGTCCCTGGTTTTGTGCAGAGAGGGTGAAAAGTGTAAGTTGGCCCAATCAGGTGGAGATCTGGATGTCTCATCACTGTCCTCTGGAGAAACACTTTCTGAATGCCCAGTGGGGCTTGGGATGGCAGGTGGGTCTGCGATAGAAGTGGCGGTTGGGCATGCCCTGAGATGTGCCCAAGGGTCAGAGATGTGTCACATCAGGGGTCCAAGCACGTCAATAATGTGTAAGAAAGAAGCGGGTGGACCGAGCGCTCCGAAAGCACTCTCACCATCTCATAAATGGCAGCCGGCTGCTGGGCTGTGGCGAACTTACCGGCTCTCTCGGTTGGCGGACTTGTACTCAATGGCTATCATTAGGAGCTTGAGCTTCACAAAACACAGCCTGAAATGAGATGGAGAAACCTCCCCGTCAGTGCTTCTGAACGGCCAGAGCCACATAACAAACATGATTACGACCTCTCCACCGCCTGATGCACTCATTATCCCGGGGACCCTCACTCCACAGTCACTGTGCCAAAGGGAGGGGGTGGGAGTGACACCTCCCCATCTTCCCCATTAAACCTGATTTCTTGCAAGTGATAAGGCGCTGAATGTTCAAAGTGCAAATTGCACTCAGGTCTGGATGTCTAGACACAGACCCCAAGCAGGGATTTGTGCCTGGGGATTTATGCTGGGCCAGATTCATTAGTTACTCGGTCGGGTAGTAAAATGTTAACTGCAGAGGGAGGGAGGTATTTGGAGCAGCTGGACCCGTTATTTGGATTCCATCTCGGTCTTTTGTACAAATGGCTCATATTGTTGTTCCGAGCAGACCCCTGTGTGCTCAGAATGATGGTAATAATCCTTAGCCTCCGTGTAACTGCCCAGCGCATAGCTGTGGGCACCGTCACTTCTGGCCCCATCCGAGCTGCCTCACCTCATCTGTCCGGTGTTCTCATCAGCAGCCCAGCCTGCTCTGAGGCTGGCTTGCTCCTGACTCCATGCCTTCATGGAGGTAATTCCTACCCCAAATGCCTTCTCTTCTCCCGACCCTCCCTCCCAAGCCCCCGCCAAATCCAGCCTTCTGTGCAGCTCTGCTACAGCCCGCCCCCCGCTTCTGGTTTTCCGTTCCCAGAACTCCTCCAGCGCCCTTGTCTGCCACAACCTCCTTCAGCTCTTCCCCAACTGCAAACTGCCTGTGGTTGCTCCCCATTGCAGTCTGTGCGTGAACGTCATCTCTTCAACCAGTGTGGCTTCTTTAAGAGTTTGGGACTTATGTGGAATCCCCATAGGGCTGCACGGGGAACCACAGACAAAGAAGCTCAAAAAATGTGTGATTTCCACTTACTGGGGTTCTAAGACAATAATAAAAGGTCCAGTGAGGTATTCATGCATACAGATGTTCAAGGTAGTAATATTTATACAGAGAAAAAAAAGGCAACCTTTTAAACGTCCAATAATAAAGCAATGGTTAAGTAAAGGATGGTATAATATAGTTTTAGCATTCAAAATGACTTTTTGAAGAATATTCAAGGTATAAGATTAACAAATAATATGAAGATACAAACATGTAAATAATGATACAATTAGGTGAAAACATATTATTTATATACTCATAGAAATAAAAGCACACGCACAAAAGAATTACATTACATATGATAAGTTTCTATAATGAGCATATGTTTTAAGGACTTTTTGGATGATGAAACACTGGCTGACTGACAGGTTGAGAAGTGACCTGGTCATTGAGCTGTAGCTCCGTAAGGGGGAGGATACACTGGGTCACAAGGCGAGGCCATTCCTGGTGCTCTCATTTAATCCCCACAATACCCCTGAGAGGGAGAGTGGGCCCCAGGTATTCTGACTTCTACAGCTATCTCTATATTACAGGTGACGAACCTGAGGCTCAGAAAGCCCATGTAACTTGCCCAAGGTCTCCAGCTAGTATCTGGCAGGACATACATCTTTAACTCCAGGGAAGCCTATTTTGTACTGGGAGAGATAGATAATAAGCAAATATAGAAGTGAATAAATAATAAATTTCCAGATGAGGAAAAGCACTATGCAGAAAACAAAACAACCTAAGAGGACACAGAGTAACTGGGAAGACCCATAAATATGGAAAACACACTGATGTTTGCCAAAGGGGAGAGGGTAGGGTGATGCGCAACATTGGTGAAGGGCAGTGGGAGGTCCAGGCTTCTAGCTATGGACTGAATGAGGCTGGGGATGAACACAGCATAGGGAGTATACTCAATGGTATTGTCACAGCAATGTGTGATGACAGATGGAAGCTCCACCTGTGGTGAACATGGTATAACATACAGAATCGTCCAATCATTATGTTGTGCACCTAAAACTAATGTAGCATTGTGTGTCAACTATATTCCAATAAAAAACAAACAAACAAACAAAGAAAAAACCAACCAGACAAAACAGAGTAACTGGGAAGGGGTGTTATCTGCAATGGTCCAGCAGGACCATTCTGAGAAAGTAAAGCTAGAGCACAGGAGGTGAGGAGAAGAGGCAGGCAATGAAAGAATCTGGCGATAAATCTTTCCAGGGAGTGGAAGCAACAAATGCAGGTGTCCCGAGGCAGGGAGGAACTCGGGGTGTCTGAAGATCAGCAACAAGGGCAACTAGACTGCAGCCGAGTGAGCAAAGTCACAAGTGACAGTGATTAGGGCAGGGAGCTAGGCAGGAGCAAGTTTGTGAAGACTGCTGGCTACAGCAACAAGTCTGCCAGTCTGCGATTTATTCTAAGTGAAATGGGAGGCCTTTAGCTGGTTGCAAATAGAAAAGCGATGGGGTTGGTGAAGGCCTCATACTCTCCAGTGGAAATAAGACCAATTGCTCACGCCTGCATGTGAGGTCATGGTCTCCTGTATTGCTTTCAACAGACAGTGAGATTTCAAAGGACCACTTCATCTAGGTGTATTTGGGCTCTCCTGGTGATTTGCAGGTTTGCCGATTCCTGCCAGCCGATTCTAATGACCTGGGCTTTGTGCTGATTATGCAGTTTGCTGAAACACCAACCCAGGTATCCAACTACAGCTGGAAAAATGCTCTTCTTAATTTATGTTCCATAAAGTACTGTTAACACGCACCCTTTATGGGGCTGTTACTCCTGGAGCTTAAATTGTTTAAAATATCAGATGGCTTATGCAATATTTGTTGAACTAAATTACCAGATTAGGTAACCACTTTCTAATGTAAATAGCAACTAAATGCCAAAATCTCAAGGAGAAGGCCGATCTTAATTTAGCACAGATCATGAAGAGGCCAATATGCTGATATCCCATGAGTGATTGGCCACTCTGATTTGGGACTCTGTGGTTCATGGGATCATGGATCTTAATTGCTTTTAATGACCTGATCCTGTTGGTAGAAGCAAAGAAGTAGTCCATAGTAATGGTGAATTATGTCTTCCTAGGTACTACGATGCCATTTACCAACTTGATACAAAAAGATAGCAGCTTTCTAATGCAGGAAAGTCAATAAAATCTATGCAGCCTCGTGCACATTCCTTAGCTAGCATGGTGGACCAGGAGATCTGAGTCCTCTTTCATAACTTCCAAATCCATATCTAAGATGATTCTATACTGCTTCATAAAAGCCTCTTTTTAAGACACTCTTTGACCCAAAGCTAGCCTTTACTCACTGGCCAAAGTGGCGAGGAGAAGGACAGAGTGATGTCCACAAAGCAATTATATGCAAACAGCGTCACAACCATGGATTATCAGATGCAGGCCCTTCAAGACTTGCTGGGGCTGTACTTCTCATAGAGATGACAAACTCAGGTCCAAAGAGGGGCAACTTGCTCCAGATCAAATGGCCTTTGGGAAGAAAGGCCAAAAGCAAAAATCAAATCTCAGTGTGGTGTGTTGCACAAATACTTCTTAGAACAAAGGAAATGAGAGGGTGTGTCCAGAAGCCCAGCATGGAGCCTTGGTCAGTACAGCATTTTTAAAAACCCAGAATTTGATACTAACAGGTGATTTCATATAAAAACTAGCCTCTCAGCCTTCCTTGATAAATCATAAATGGCCACACTGGAGCCATATTCTGTTTGGCTTAAAGGGACTGGAGCTTTGAAGCACTGACCCTTCTGGATGGGACACGTGCTCTCCAATATGCTACAGTCCCCAGCACTCCCCAGGTAGCCTATCTCTTCAGCCTTCTCTCTTTGTGGCTCGACCCAAAAAGGCATCTAAGTTTTTAACCTCTGCCATAACAAGTACCTTCTGCAGGTCCCCAAACACAGATCTTGCACTATGTCCCCTCCTTCTAAAAATCACAGTTTTCGGGGCGCAGTTGTTAAGTGGCTGCCTTCGGCTCAGGTCATCATCCCGGGGTCCTGGGATCGAGCCCCGCATCGGGCTCCCTGCTCCGCGGGAAGCCTGCTTCTCCCTCTCCTGCTCCCCCTGTTTGTGTTCCCTCTCT